TTTTATTTGGTTTGTCAATTGCTTACAAGATAATAGGTATAAGTAAAAACATAGTTATGAATACATGGATACATATAAGAAAAATAAAAGAAACAATAGGACAGGGATGATGCGCTTACGCATGCCCCTTACAGACCTCTTAGGAAAGGGGAGAGGTCAATAGTAGACAGTATAAGGTTAAAGTTTTTGGGGTTTGGGGAAGAAACCACAGTCAGGTAGAGTATTCCAGACATTGACCACTCTGTTTCTGAAGTCATATTTCCTGCAATCAAGTTTGGTGCAATTAACCTTGATTTTGTATGTATTGTTTGCTCTTGTATTGTTATGGCTAAAGCTGAAGTATTCATTGGCAGGTAGGACATTGCAATGTATGATTTTATATACTATGCTTAGATTGGACCGAAGGTGGCGTAGTTCTCGGTTGTCTAGTTCTAGAATTTCAAGTCTGGTGGCATAAGGTATTCTACAATGAGTAGAGGAGTGGAGAACTCTTTTTGTGAAATATTTCTGGACTTTCTCAACTGTGTTAGTATCAGATACGTAATGTGGGTTCCAGACTGATGAGCTGTATTCGAGTATTGGTCTAGCAAATGTTTTGTATGCTTAGTAGTGTGATATTACCAGAGAAAAAGCTACATAGGATTAGGTTAACAATTCTTAATGCCTTTTTGGCTATGTAGTTACAGTGGGCTCTAACACTTAAATAATTAGAGATGAGTACTCCAAGGTCCTTGACAGAGTTTGGATCATCAACAAGGTCTTGACTATTCAGCTTGTATTTTATTTTTGGATTTTTTTGCCAATATGTAAGACAGAGCATTTATTTGTTGAGATTTGATGTTGCCATTTGTTTGACCATTCTGATACATAGTCAAGGTCTTTTTGAAGCATAGCAGCATTGTCTGTGGTGTTGAATAGCTTTACATCATCAGCAAAGAGAGCACAGTTGCTCTCAATATGATCACAGAGGTCATTTATGTAGAGTATGAAGAGAGTTGGTCCAAGAACACTGCCTTGGGGGACACCACTGTTGACAGGTACAGAATTTGACAGGATGCTCCCAATTTTGACCATTTGTTGTCTGTTTGACAAGAATGCTTCTATACAGTTATGAAGGTATCCAGAGATACCATAAGATTTTAGTTCTAGAAGTAGTTTGTCATGTACCACTGAATCAAAGGCTTTATAGAAGTCTATGTAGATTGTGTCTATTGCTTTGCCCTGATCGAGTTGTGTAGTCCATATGATTTTGCAGTATAAGAGTTGCAGATTACAGGATAGTTTTTTCCTGAAACCAAATTGTTTATTAGAGAGTAGGTTTTTTGTCTCTAAGTGGAGGATAATGGATTGGTTAATAATTGATTCCATGACTTTACAGGTGATGCAGCATAAAGAGATTGGTCTGTAATTTTCAACTAGGCTGGGGTCTCCCTTTTTGAAGATGGGGATGACCGTGGCTTGTGACCATAGTTTTGGCAAGGAGCTGGTCCTGAAATATTTTTCAAAGATTATGCTTAGAGGTTCGGCTATGGCAGTGAATAGCTTTTTTAAGAAGTAGGCATATATTCCATCTGGTCCAATAGATAGAGATGGTTTTAGATTGTGAAGTGCTTTTTCAACATTGTCTTCTGTAAAATTGATATGTATTAGATCATTGTAGTTGTCTGGTTCAACTAGGAAATACTGATTGCTCTACGGTAGAGTGGGGATACAATGCCAAATCCTAACCCCCACCCCACCCCAGAGCAGATCCTAACCATAAACCCTGGTGCTTATTTTGGTGACCGAAAAAATAAATAAGATTGGAT